AGAAAATCTTAAAAAATCAGGGTGACAATTGAACTGGCTCAGGCTGTGAGGGTTCTGCTGGGTTCCCTTCAGGAGGTGCATTGGAGGATCTCCAGTTCTCCCAGTGGGAATGTGGTGCTACTCCATGACCCTTCATGCCCGATCCATTCCTGATGCTGCTGCACTTTGCACAGAGCAAACCCAGCCCTGCCCCCCTGACCCCTTTTCCCAGCTTTATCCCAGATCCACCTGGATCAGGTTTGGAGCAAAACTTTCAGCTTCATGACCCCATTCCCAGATTTTACCGTGGCTCCCGCAAACTTGTAACCCAGCCCTACTGCCATTGAAAATCCATGGGCACAGGAGAGCCAGGAGTTGGGCACAGGGTGCCAGGGGGAATGTGCCCCCCACACCTCCTCCTTTGGAGCCCTGGCTCTTTGATGTCTTTCATCACCCAAACTCCACTTTTTTTTTTTTTTTAATTTTTTTTTTTTTCCAACAGAGAAATTCCCAGTTTTCCTCCCACCCACCCAACTGAGGGGGGGATTCTCTGATGTTTTGTAGGTCAGGGCTGTTGGTGACCCCCCTGAGGGGGCCCTTGCTGGGGTTTCTCTCCTGTTCCAGCAGCCCTGAGGCGTCTGCCCCTCTGTCAGATGGGATTGGGATCATGGAGTGCTGGTGAACAGACGGGCTAAAAATATTCCCCTGCTCGTTCCTGTGATCTTTCCTCCCCGTCTGCCCCTCCCCACCGCCCTTTCCTGCTTTACACCACAATTCCATGGGATTGCAGCAGCTCTGCCAGCCTAGGAGCAAACTCTAGGAATAACCTCCAGGCCATGAAAAAGCTCTTTGGGGCGCCCCCCAAAACAGAAAGGGTGGGAGGGGGAAAATAGAGTTTTAAAGGAGGAAAATGAGAGTGGATTTGGGAATGGGGTTGTGGGAAAGCCAGACTTACTCCATAGAAAATCCCTGCCTGAAAATCCCTGAATTTATCAGTAATTTGCTGATGAATTCAGCAAACTGGTGAGGATTGGGTGAGGAGCAGGGGATTTGGGTTTGGGGGTGATCCCGCCTTTCCCTCCGGCCATCCCGAGGAATGTCCCGGGCTCCAACGGCATCCCTGCTGCTGAGGAGGAGGAGGAGGAGGAGGATGCTGGGCTGGAGGAGCTGGGAATACCCGGGCTCCATCAGCACTGCCGAGCCGGGGATGCTCCCCTGCCGGGTGCACACTTGGATTTTCCCGATGCTTCCAACACTCGGGGGTTCAGGCTGGATTTTCTTATTTTCCAGCCTCATTGGGTTTAAATCTCATTTTATTTTCATCCTTGCTGACTTACCAGCAAAGGCTAGGCATGGTAAATACAGTGGGAGATTGTGGGGGGCAATTAAATGTAGTAGCATCCTCCCTCGGCTAAAATCAGATGGGAAGAGCCCCTCTGGGAGCATCCCTGAATTCCTGGGGAGCCAGGGGTGGTTTGGCATTGCCAAAATTCCAGAATTAAGGAACCATCCTGCTCTCCACCTGGCTCCTGAGCTGGGGTGTCCCCAGGCCTCTCCCAGGGAATGCTCCCCCTTTCCCAGCACCATCCAGGGATTAGTTTTCTCCAAATTCAGCTGGGAGGGATGGAGTTGGAGCTGAACCCAGGTGGGTACCCCCAGGGGCAGCACGGGGGCAAAACCCCTGAGGAGGGGTCCCAATGGGTGCTCAGGCTTTATTATTATTATTATTACTATTATTATTATTATTATTATTATTATTATTAATCAGGTCAGGGTTATTAATTATATTACATTCAAACCAAATTGAAGCAGAGGCTGGATGAGATCTCCACGAATTGGGTATTTATGGTTAAAAAATCAGATGGAATTCTCCTAAACAGCCCAGAAAAAGCTGGAGAGGGTCCCTCCAGCCTGGTTGCTTCTGTGCTGGGGGGGACAAGGACTTGGCCACCCCAGCCTGGCCAGGGAGGGAGGAAAAGCTTCCTTGGAAATCCCCGTGAAATGCAGGAATGGGAGCGAGCTCCAGCTCCTCTCCGGAGTTTATAGCAACGCTCCGGCTGTTGTGGCTCCACACCAGGGATTCTTTATTTAATTTCTTCCCCTTATGGGCTGAGAAACCTTCCCAGCCTCAGCACAGCCCTCTCACAGTAGCTGGGATTTGTTTTCCTCTCTTGTCCAGGGAGGAATTTCTAAATCCCAGCTGCAGCCAGAGCTGGAGCCCTGGAATATGCTGAGCTGGAAGGGGCCCATCAGGACCGTGGAGTCTGGGGCTGTGCCAGGTGTCATCGAGCAGGGGTGACACCCCTGTCCCCAAATGCACCCCACAAGGCTTGGGGTCAGCACTGAGGTCCTTGTGCTGCTGCTCCAGGGTCAATTTTCTTAGCAGGACATCCCAAAAATCCCTAGAAATGGATGCTGGGCACTGAAAGCAGCAAGCCTGGGTTAGCACAACTGATCCAGCAGCCTTTGGGAAGGGGATGGGATGCAGAGAGGGATGTGTTTAGTTGTTATTTTGTTGCTTTTGGAGTAATAATTTTTATGCCATTAACAAAATCCGAGGGACACTATGAGATAAGAGAGCTCCCACGTCTCCGTGTCCCTTCCTGCCAGTGACAATGGCAGCATTGAAATTCTGGGATGGGAGATACTCGCCTGGTGATAATGCAGGATCACAGTGAGCTGCTGCTATTTCCTGTCCTTTCCATATAAATACACCCAGTGCAAGAGTATTTTATGGGAATGGTATTTTCAGCCATAACCACACCACCTTTTTTTTTTTTTAAATTATTATTATTTTGAGATAGGCTTAGCAATGCAAAAAATAACCAAACCAACCCCAAAAGAATTCAATTTTTTTTCCCATTTTCCATCTGCATTTCTGCTCCTTGGGACTTTGAGGGAGATTAATTCCAGGATCGTGAGGGAAATGTCACCGGAGTCTTTGGGCTTTTCCTCTCCCAGAGAGCAGAGGCAGAGCAGACCCTGGCTGAGGTCCATCTTTCCAAGCTCTCCCCACGTTGCAGCCTGGGATGGCTTTTCCTGGAGTGTCTCCTCCAAGCCCTGGGAGCATCTCCCTTTGGAATGAGCCGAGATTTTCCCCCCGGCTCGGGAGCAGCCGCGCCATCCACGTCGGTGTTTATGCATTGCCTCGCTGGCATCCCAGAGCTCTTCCTGCTGCTTTATTTAGCCTCTGCAGCAAGGCAGGAGCTGGGTTCCTGTATCCCTGTGCTCCACAGGGCCTGGGATGTGCTCAGCAGGACCCACTTGTCCTCCTCAGCTCCACACCAAGGGGGCCGTGTCCTGCTTGTGCCACCCCATATCCCTAAAATGATTTGTGGGTTTGGATAAATGAACCAAAGGGAGGCTTTGCTTGTGTCAACGGCAGGAGGGGTGTTTCCAGAGGGAGTTTTTGGGGAAAAAAAGACATTTCTGACTGGAAAGACACCCCTTGTTTGGAATGACAGGCCCTGCTTGGACAGGATGCTCTCCATGCCCTTGGCAGTGGCACCAGTGTCTTTGTAAGGACTGGAGCAGGAGCTGTGGGGTAGAAACCTTCTCCCAATTCCACCTGGCATGGACAGGAGGATGAGAGAGATCCCAAACCCAAGGGATATCCAGCCCCATCCCTGCAGAAAGCCAGGTTGTTTTTCTCCACGAGGAGAGTGTTGGATTCCCAGCGCCGGCACCGTGCACTCCCATAATGGAATTACCCAGCACGAGCTGCTGAGCTGCAAACAGATTTCAGCAAGGAGTGTCAGGGTGCTCACAGCAGAGCTGCTCTTTATTTAGGGCTGGGAACAAGCGGCTCCTCTCTCCCAGAGCCTCGGAGAGACTGCGGGGGCTGAGGCGGCCTCGCAGGTCAGCCCGAGGAACGCCTTTAGACGGTTAAAAGTGAGGAATAAATAACTCCTCCAAAAACAATCTCGCCAGATGGCACTTCTGAAGGAGGAGCGGCTCGGAGATGCTTTGCTGCTAATTTATGGTGCTGCTGCTGTTGCTATTCCGGGCCTGGGTCACCTATGGAGAGGGATCTGTGTGTGCATCAGCTCCAAAGGGTGGCCAGGCCTCACATGAGTGAGCCACACTCACCTTCATGCAGCTGCTAGGCGGGGATTTAATGAGAATGGGGTTTAATTCTGCTCCTGCCTCAACCTGAATCCTAAAAAACTGGGATTCTGTGATCTCCCAGCGCTGGGGATACTGGGAAGGGTGTGGGGGGGTCCCCTACACAAGGGTGTTGAGACCCCTCCAAAGGACATGTGAGTGCCTTTCCTAGGAGATCATAGAAACCCAGGGTTGTTTGGATTAAAAGAGCTCTTTAAAAAAATCTCATTCCAAACCCTGCCATGGGCAGGGACACCTTCCACTGTCCCAGGCTGCTCCAAGCTCTGTCCAGCCTGGCCTTGGACACATCCAGAGGCAGCCACAGCTTCTCTGGGCACCCTGTGCCAGGGCCTCCCACTCTACCAGGGAAGGATTTCTTCCCAATATCCCATTCATCCCTGCCCTCTGGCAGTGGGAAGCCATTCCCCCTTTATCCTAAATCCCCCTCCAGTTCTCTTGGAGCCCCACTGGAAGGGGCTCTAAGGCCAAGCCAAGCCGGACACCCCAGCTCTCCCAGCCCTCCGAAGCAGCGTTCCCCAGCCCTCGGAGGCTCCTCCGGCCGCGCTCCCGGCTGGAGGATGTTCAGCCCCGCTCCGCTCCCGGGCACCTCCGCTGGCTCCATCCCGCAGGGACGGTGCCCGAGTGCCCTCCCAGGGGATGCCATGCTCGGGCTCTTCCCGGAGCCTTCCATGGGCACCGTGCCCGGCTCCCCACGCCTCCTCCGGGGCCACCACTCCTCTCTCCAGCCCGGGGCCACCCCGTGCCCGAGCCTGTCCCCGCTGTCCCGGGCCCGGCGCCGGGGCGGGAGGCGGTGCCGGTGCCGCTCGGGGCGGTGCGGGGCGGCCCGGGAAGGGGCGGGGGCGGCGGGATGGGCTGGGCTGGGCTGGGCTCGGCACGGCTCGGCTCGGCACGGCGGGGTTCGGCACGGCACGGCACGGCTCGGCACGGCTCGGCACGGCCGGCAGGCAGCGCGCTCCCGCAGCCGCAGGTAGGTGCGTGCCCCGCACCGCGCTCCCGCTCGGCTCAGCCCGGCTCGGCTCAGCCCGGTTCCGCTCCCTTCGGCTCGGCTCGGCTCGCTGTGGCTCAGCCCGGCCCGGCTCGGCTCGCCCCCGCGGGGCCGTGCCGCGGGTGGGCCCGGCGCTGCCGCTTGTTGCGCTCGGGGGCGAGTTGGAGCCGGAGCGGTGCGAGCGGCCCCGGCTGCAGGAATGCGAGTCATTTCCTCCGCCCGCCCGCCTGCCCGCCCGCGGGAGCTGCGGCTCCGCCGGAACCCCCCCACGGCCCCCGACGGCCGCCACACCGCCGCGACACCGACACGGCCGCCCCGAGCCGCGCCAGGGGCGCGCTCGCCCGCGGGACCCCGCACCCCTGGGCACCCACAGCTGCGGGACCCCTGGGTCACACTCATCCCCACATCTGCAGGAGCCCTGGTCCGTGGGTACCCGCATCTACGGGACCCCGTGCCCCTGAGTACCCACATCTGCGGACCTGCGGCCCCTGGGTCACACTCGTCCCCACATCTGTGAGAGCCCTGGCCCCTGGGTCACACTCGCCCACGGGTCTCGCTCACCTGTGGTCTCACTCACCCACAATTCTCACTCACCCTTGGGACCCTTTTCCCTGGGTGGCACTCACCCACAGGTCCCCTCACCCACGGGACCCCTTGCTTTCACCCACAGGTCCTCCTACCTGTGGGTTACCGTCACCCACGGCTTCCCTCATTCCTGGTTCACAGTCACCCATGGGTCTGTTTGTCCCTGGGTTATGCTCACCCATGGGTCTCTTCACCCCTTGCTCGTGGGTGACACTTACCCCAGGTCCCCTCACCCATGGGTCCCCTCATTCCTGGGTCACACTTGTCCATGGATCCCTTTGTCCCTGGGTCACACTCACCCAGCTGTCCCCTCACCCCTGGGTCACACATCCCCAGTGGGCCCCTCACCCGTGGGTGCTCTATGCCTGTGCCAGCTCTTTTCTGTGGCTCATGGTGACCCACAGGTCCCCTCAGCTGTGGTCCCCACCATCACTTGGTTCCTGTACCTGTGATTCTCTCATCCATGGGTCCTCCTGTCCCTGGGTCACAGCCACCTGTGGGACTCCATTGTCCCCGGGCTCCCCTCACCCTCGGGTGCCCCCCACCCCATGGAGGTGCCAGCTGCTCCCTGCTGGTGTCCCTGACGGCCCTCTCTGTGTTTCCCACCAGGAATGCCATCCCTGACACGTTCTGGATCAATCCATGCAGCTCCTAAGCCGGGCTTTATCTGACCCGGTGCCCTGGTGGCAGCGGGGAAATTGGGCTGAGCTTTCCCAGCACCATCCTTGGTGTTCCTGTGTCCTTTGACTCGCCCGTGGGAGTGAGGCACATCCCGACCCTGCCGTGCCCCTGGCCCCCTGCCACCTTTCTGCCATTTCCCATTCCTGAATCCTCCTCTTCCTGCTCGTGGCCAGTGCCTTTCTGGCCAGCAGGATGTTTTCCCCTCCGAGCCCAACTCTGCTTTTCCAGAGCTGCTTTCCCGCGTGGCACCGATGGAGCTGTGCTGCTCTGCCTAATTCTGGGCTGGTTTGTGTTGGTGTTTTTCCACAGGGCTCGCTCTCCCTCTCGGAATCTTGGATAGAGCTGGGATTAATTCGAGCTCTCTTGCCTGAAAGAGATGTTCCGTTTAAAATTCCCAATCCCGAAGGCATATTGGAGTTTGGTTCTAGGTACTGGATTTTTACTATCGGTTTTTAAAGGGGTTTCTTTTCTTTTTTTAAAAAAAAACTGGGTTTGTTCAGGCTCTTTAAACCCCGAGTCTGTAAGCAATTATTCCATTACATGAAAGTCAGGACGCTGAGAAAGATTAATTCAGACCAGATGTAAAAATAAATGGGAATTTGAAATTAAGATGATGTCAGTTCCCTCCTGCTAAAAAAAAAACCCGGCAGCCTTTGGACTCCAGATGGAGTATACAAACCATGGCGCTGGTTAAAATATCTGCCTGCTCCTTAATTGAGTTTTATCCTGCTTTTTTTTCCCGCTCCCCTTGACTGAAAAGTGGACTTGGGATGTTTTTCCCAAAAAGCTTTCCCCGATGGTGGCCGGGGCAGGGAAGTTGATGGAGGCTGTGGCGTGGCTGAGGAGCTTTCCCAGCTGGAAAACTGGAGAGCGGCGCTGCTGAGGGAAGACAAATCTCCCTCTGCCCGCCCCAGGATTAAAAAAAATCAGGAACTTGGTTTGGCTTTGTTTTGCTGGATTTGGAGCTGGAGGCGAGGACGCCACAGAGGGCAGCAGGAGCTCTGGATAGTCCAGGCATGGATTTGAATTTTTGGGCATAAAATGGAGCTGGTTTTTGGGTTCTTGTGTGTCTGCAGAGCACTTTGCATCCCATTTTTCCCTCTCTGTGTGCAGCAAACGCTGCACATTCCCCAGAGTGGGAATGGGTTTGGGCACCCAATGTAGAGGAGCCTGTGAGCTCTTCTATTATTGGGATATTGGGAATGGGGCTCCCCAAAAGTGCCTCCTACTGGGAAGGGAGGGTTTACCCAGGGTCACAGCATCTGGGGGGTGTGTTGTTATAGAAAATAACATAAACATTCATCATTGCATATTAACAATATTAATATTTAGGTGGCATTATTAATTATTTAATATTATATTGGTAATTAAATTTAAAATATGACTTTAATTTCTAAATAGGGATCTCTGTGGTTTGGAGACTCGGGGCTGTGCTTTCTGTGGTGCAGGGGTTTGGGATGGTGACTCTGGCCCTTGGGGCTGCTTTGTGGTCCAGGGATCCCGCAGCCAAATCCCAAGGGATTTATGGCAGCTGCTGCTGGTGTGGGCTGCAGCCTGCCCACGGAGAGGGGAGCAAAGGCAGTGCTCCACATCCATGTGCAGCCTTGGGAGTGATGCCTGTCATCCTGGGAGTGGGATCAGAGCTCTGGGAGCTTTGGGTGCTGGGGGATGGTTCCTGAAATGCCTGGGAATGCCGTGGGACAGGCTCTGGAGCTGGATGGGAGAGCTGGGCTGCCCTGAGCACAACCCTCTCCATCCCAGTCTGGACATTGTTCTAATCCCAGAGGCTCAGGCGAAGTTTCCTGGAAGGAAATCTGATGGAAGGGGCTGGTTCTGGAGCAGAGGAGGGAAGAGGAAGAGCAGGCGTTGTCCCTCCCCTCCCTGGAGCCCTTGCCAGGAGAAATCCATCTCTGTGTCCATCCCTGGTGGAGGCAGGGACGCTTTATTTATATTTCAGTGCTCCAAAGTCAGGGAATGAAGAGGCCTGGGGTGACTCTGCTGTGGGCTGGATGGAAAATCAGCGCTTCCAGGCTGGATTCTGCTCCGTGCATGACAAGATAAGCAGGGCAAGCAGCTTCCTGTGTTTCCCCATGGAATGTGATGTCCCATGGGGCTCATCCCCAGCAGGAGGGGACATCACCCCATTTTTAGGATGATCCACATGGCCCAGCCATTCCTGCCCATTGCTGTTGTCCCACTGCAATAGCCAAAGGGGAGGAGGATGAGGAAGAAGAGGTGGAGACAGGCGAGCTTCTGAAGGAATTTTCCTTGGAGAGGCTTTTTGGATACCCCCAGCACTCGGGGATATCTGCTGAGGCTGGTGGGGGCTGGCCCTGGCTGCCCAGGCTGAGCTTCCAGCATCCAAATAGCTTTTGTGGTGGATGAAGTAATGGAATATTTATAACTGAGTCCTTTTTCCCAGTGAAGGTCTCTTTCATCTGTCTCTCTTCATTAGGAGGAAACTGTTGAGTTCATGAAGAATTGGAGACGATTTTAATTACGGGGCAACCGCAAGCAGGAATTAATCTGGGTTTTGGGTTCAGAGGAGCTGCATTAAGGGACGGCCCTAAAACTTGTAATAACAGCTCTGTGCATACCTGTGCCTGTGATGTGGGGTGAGACCCACTCCAGACTCTTCAAAACAAGAAATTCCTGCCCCGTGAATTCATCTTCCCGTCTCGCCCCGCGCTCTGGGCAGCCTCTGGCTGTGGATGGCCCCTGCCTACGTGTGGGTCCTGGGCTGGATCCCTTCCCTTGCCCCTGGGGAGCCTCAGGAGGGCTGGAACAAAAGCCTGGAGGTGGGTTAGAATCAGGGAATCGTGGAGATTTTTAGGTTGGAAAAGACTTCTAGGATTGTAATCAGCCGTTCCCCCAGCACTAACCCATGTCCCCAAGTGCCATGGCCACATGGCTGTTAAATTCCTCCAGGGATGGCAATGTCTGATAGGGCAGCATTTTTTTGAAGACTGGATATTTTGGCAAGGAGGGATGGATTTGGTTGATGGAGAAATGGGCAGGATCTGCCTCGAGGCTGGATTGAATGGGGGGCACTGGGATGTCTGGTGGGTGCCACAGAGGGACAAACCTGACCCAAACCCACGAGGATGGAGACTCATCCGCTTCTTTTAAATCAATTTAAATCCACAAAGAGGGAAAAACGCTGCCCATCCACCCAGCCTCGCTTCACATGCACGGAATCTGGAAGAAAACCCCACCTCAGCCAGCAAGTTCAAACCATGTTCAATCCCCACCCTGGAATTACATCCAAATTTCTATTTCTGACGAGATCCTGCTCCAGCACCTCCATGTGAACCAATCCCAGGCTCTGCCTGCCCTCGGATGTGTTTGCAGGACCCCAGGATGAGCAAATCCCTCGCCGAGTCAGCAGCGCCAGCCCCGGCTGCTTTTCCCAGGTTTTTTGTGGGATGTTTTCTTTGCAGACGAGCTTTGTGACGGGATTTATCCCATGGCATCAGCAGCAGGGAGGGAGACAATATTCCAGCAGCCTGGGCCTGGAAAACACGGTGGATCAAGGAATTTTCTCAGCTCTGGAATCACGAGGAGTTTGCAGTGCCTTCCTGTGGAGTTTTAATGCTCTTTTCCCCATAGCAGGGAAAACATGGCTGGAAGACTTGGATCTCCTCACTCTGCTGATCCATGCCCAAGCCCTCATTCCCAGTGTTTTTTCCAGCTGACTTTGGGTAGAAAACCCTTTGGAAGACTGCCTGGGGTGGAGGTTCTTGCTTGGAGTGTGGGGTGATCTGTGTCACTCCCTCTGCTGTGGGGCAATCCAGGGGGGCTCTCCCTCCAATCCATATTTCCAGCTTGGAGCTGGGAATGTTGGGCTAGATCTTTAAAGGTCCTTTCCGACCCAAACCATTCCATGCTTCCACGTTTGTGCCTGCTATCAGCACTTCCTCTGGAGCAGCAGGGACTCGCCGAGGGCAGCGGCGCGGGGTCCCGGGGAATCAAAGCTCACATTGTGGCAATGAGCAGCAGATGTTGGAAAGAATTTCCCCGCGTCTGGCCGGGGCTGCTGCAGGCACAGCACCCTGGAAAGGGCTTTGTGTGTCTCCTGCTGAATCTCTGCAGCTTCCAGGGCTGGCAGAGCCCCCGGGAAGCACCTGGAGCTGAGGGAATCTCCATAGGGACCATCCCTGTGTGGTGGGCTGGTGGAATGTTCCCACTCAGCAGCAGGAGCTGGGATGTTTTTTATACAAACACCAAAATAGAGGGTTTGGGCTCGGGTGGTTTTTTCCTCTGCCATGCCCGTGCTCTGCTGACGCCAGCTCGTGTGGTTTAATCCCTGGTGCTCTGGGATCAATCCAGGCTGCAGGAGGAGGAGGAAATGCAGGGACTGGTGAGGGGATGAGCAGCCCCAGAATGCCAGAGGGTGACAGGACCAGAGGGAATGGTTTCAAACTGGCAGAGGGCAGGGTTAGATGGGATATTGGGAAGGAATTTTTGGCTGTGAGGGAGGAGAGGCCCTGGCACAGGCTGCCCAGAGGAGCTGAGGCTGCCCCATGCTTAGAAGTTTTCCATGTTGGACTGGATTTGGAGCAACCTGGAATGGTGGAAGGTGTTCCAGCCCATGTGGGGGAGAGAATCCCAGGGATGGATTCTCCAGTAGCTCAGCAGTGGGTGCTGCCCATGGCTGGAATTTCGAGCCAGCTCGGGAGGAAGCTCTGGTGGGTGGGAGCAGGACACGGAAGGTGCTGCAGGAGCCCCAGGATGTGGCTGCTTTGCCGGGAACACAGAGGGTGCTGCAGGAGCCCTGGGACACGGCTGCTTTGCCAGGAACACGGCCCCTCCCCAGCCCAGCCCTCACAAGCCACATCCCACCAGTGCCCGGGAGCTGCTGGTGCCCAGCCAGGCCAGGACGTGCCAAATTCCTTCAGCCCTGGTCCGTGAGCACCGGGATCTTCAACGAGCCCTGAAACCAACCTGGCCATGGCAGGCGTGGCCTCAGAGCATGGATGCCATGGAGAGGGGCCAGGCACAGCCACGGCGCAAAGCTGTGCTGCAGGGATGTGCTGCATGGGTGCCATAGTGCTCCAGCTCAATGCATGGGTGCAGTGTGTAGGTGCAATGCATGGATACCATGAGGTTTCAGCACAGTTTATGGACGCCACAATTCAGTGCTGCAATGCACAGGTGCAATGCATTTGTGCCATGATGTTCCAGCTCAATGCATGGATGCCACAATGCAGTGCTGCAATGTGTAGGTGCAATGCGTGGCCAGTTTGCTGCACAGATGCAATGCATGGATGCCATGACGTTCCAGCACAATTTATGGATGCCACAATGCATGTACAGATGCCATGATGCACTGCTGCAATGCACAGGTGCGCTGCATGGATGCCATGAGGTTCCAACTCAATGCGTGGGTGCTGCAATGCATGGGTGCAGTGTGTAGGTGCAATGCATGGGTGCCATGAAGTTCCAGCTCAATGCATGGATGCCACAATGCATTGATGCAATGCACAGATGCAATGCACTTGTGCCATGATGTTCCAGCCCAATGCACGGATGCCACAATGCATGGGGGCAATGTGTAGGTGCAGTACATGGCAGGTTGCACATGTGTGCTGCACAGGTGCAGTGCATGGATGTCATTATGCGACAATGCAGTGCTGCAATGCACAGATGCAGTGCATTGGTGCCACAATGTTCCTGCATGGGTGCCGCAATGCATGGGCGCAGTGTGTACGTGCAATGCATGGCCAGCTGCATGCCTGTGCTGCACAGATGCAACGAATGGATGCCATGAGGTGCCAACACAATTTATGGTTGCACATCTGTGCTGCACAGATGCAGTGAATGGATGCCATGATGTTCCAGCTCAATTTATGGATGCCACACTGCAGTGCTGCAATGCACAGATGCCTTGATGCATTGCTGCAATGCACAGGTGCAGTGCATTGGTGCCACGATGTTCCAGCTCAATGCATAGATGCCCCAATGCATGGGTGCAATGTGTAGGTGCAATGCATGGCCAGGTTGTGTGTCTGTGATGCATGGATGCAATGCATAGGTGCCACGATGTTCCAGGTCAATGCATGGATGCCACAATGCATGGATGCACTGGAGGGCCGTGATGCACATAGATGGAACACAGAGAATCCACGATGTACCACCACGATGCATGGGTGCAACGTGCAGGTGGAATGCATGACCAGGATGCAGGGATGCAGTGAATGGGTGCAATGCATGGCCACAATGCAGCATCCCAAGTCAGGAATGCAGTGCATGGATGCAATGCACATTTGCTATCCGGAATCCACAATGCAGGGACACAGCCTCTGTGCTGCAGTCCCAGCGTGCCCTGGCCATGGGAAGGCATCACCTCCGGATTTCCCAACTTCTGCAAAACCCCAGGAACCACCAACCAAAAGTCACTTCAGGGCACTTTTCCCCCTGTGCTGCTGCAGGAATTCCAGACTTTCGGAAGCCAAAAGCACTTCCATTTAGACCAAAGCAAATATTTGGTGACAAGGGAGGCACTCTGCTGTCTGCCAGTGTAAATCTGGGCTAGGAAAGGGCTGAACTAGGTCAGAGTTTAAAGTCCTTCCTCATGGTGTCACGTGGGAATTCATGTCCTCAGGGATGGTGGGGTAAAAAGTGATTTGGGAATATTCACCCTGGGAAATGAGAGTTTCCTGGGGTCAGTGTTAGGATGGATTTGTTGGCTCTGAATGTCAATTCCAGTCTGTAAATCCCTGCTGGTGCTTGGATTGTTTTATTTCACCCCAGTGCAGAGTCAGAACTGGGGGGAAGGATGTTGGAAGGGATGTGGGGATCCTCTTAGGACACCCCACAGAATTTCCTTGCCTTTCCATGGCTGGCAGGGAAACCTCCTGTTTCCAGCACAGCTCCTCGCTGCCCCAACCGGGTTATTCCCAGTGGATAAACTTCTATTTATTTTAATTATGCCAGAAAAGCCTTTCCTGAGGTTTTCCTGAATCTGAGCCAGGAGCATCAAACTGCTGGCTCAGATTTTTGGGGCTGGGCCTAAAACATGGGGATGGTGGTGGTGGGGTGGCTGTGGGGGGTGAGGTGTGCTTGAGGTTTTTGGGGGTATCTTGGCTTGGAAAGCCAGGTGTCTGCTAAGGAAGGCAGGAGCCAACACTGAAATGGAGAATGTAAATCCCCCCTCTGCTATAAATTGCTATAAATTTTAAATTAAGGGGCTCTCAGGCAAAAAATATGGGAGCAGGAAATAACAGTTCTTTAATAGGGGATGAGATAAACAATGCAGTGAACCAAACCAACACTGACAGAGTCAGAACCCAACCTGACACCCTGTGGGTCAGGCTGTTGGCAGCAGTCCCATTGGAATTGTGGCTCAGCACTCCTGCAGTGTCAGGGCTGGTTCTGCTGGAGCAGGATCCTGGAGAAGGGTGCAGTCTCTTCCTCTGGAGATCCAGGGGAAGAGGGAAATCCTCTGGGAAATCCAGTGGAGAAGCCGTGCTGGTGTTCCAGAATCTCCGGATTATATCCAGGCAGGAATGCTTGGCTGGTGTTCCAGAATCCCCAGATTATATCCAGGCAGGAATGCTTGGCTGGTGTTCCAGAATCCCCAGATTATATCCAGGCAGGAATGCTTGGCTGGTGTTCCAGAATCCCCAGATTATATCCAGGCAGGAATGCTTGGCTCCTCCCTCTGGGCTCACATCTCCCAATGGGATGCTGTAGTTCTTATCAGCCATGCAGGGACATTCAATTAAAAAATTGAATAAAATTCAATAAAAAATAGCCTGTTATCAGCAGATGCCCCCTCCCGAGGGAGGAGTGGTTGTGATCACTCAGAGAGAGATAAGGCAAACTACCCAATGAACAGAAGATAACTACCACACAGATGGTGATAGAACACATCTTGCCTTGCAGTCTGGGGCAGGGGTACGCCCAAACCACGAGCCCACACCGTGTGGGACATGCTGGTGGGTGGGAGGGCTGGGGGATGCAGTTGGGGAGCTGAGGGTGCCCTGCTCAGGGCTCACTCCCTCTTTTCCCCCAGGGATGGCACCCACAGAGCCCGAGGCCGCCCCGGCCCGCCGGTGAGGTGCCCCCAGCAGCCCCCCTGAGCCCCCAGGCCAGAGCACCATGAACAAGCTGCCCTTCCACAACAACAGAGTCATGCAGGACCGGCGCAGCGTGTGCATCTTCCTCCCCAACGACGACTCCCTCAACATCATCATCAACGTAAGGAACCTCCCCTTCCCCAGCCTGACACCTCCCTCACCCCCAGGGTTGTGTTTGCACGCCCTGGGTTTCCTTTGGAGCCTGCCTGGCCTTGCCCTGCTGGGGGAATGCACGTGGGTTATTCCCCTGGGGGTTGCAGTGGTGTTTTAGGCTCTCCTGAGTCTCCCTGGTGGATGTGATGCTGGGTTTGGGGAGGGTGACCCGCTGCTTGGCATCCCACAGCATGCCATGAGCCCCATCACTCCACCAATCCCTTCTGGATGGCTCCTCAGCCTTCTCTAGCCCAGGGAATAAACAGGAGGGGCTTTGGCTCTGGTTGGGATGGAGCATTGAATGTGAAATTCCCAAATTCCCCCACTTTTTGTTGGTTCTTTTTTTTTTTTGTTAATTCATCCCCACCCAATGTTGCTTTTGAGTCAGGAAAATGTTGAAATTCCTTTCAGGACTTAAAGGGAGCTTATAAAAAAAGATGGAAAGAGGTGGATAATGATATCTACATCTAATCTAAAACCATTCCCCTTATCCTTATAGGGGATAAGGGGAATGGTTTTAAACTTAAAGAGGGAAGATTTAGATCAGATAATAGGAATAAATCCTTGCCTAGGAGGGTGAGGAGGCCCTGGCACAGGTTTCCCAGAGCAGCTGTGGCTGCTCCTGGATCCCTGGAAGTGTCCAAAGCCAGGTTGAATGGTCTTGGAGCAGCCTGGGATGGTGGAACGTGTCCCTGGGGTAGAATGAGACTGTGAATGTTCGGATTTCTGTCCCCAGAACATCTCCCCAGTGCTGGGTTCCTCCTCCACCCACTGCTCTGGAGCTGCCCCGTGGTGCTCTGAGCATCCCAGCCCTGGCAGAGCTCTGCTCCAGGCTTTGTGGCCACAGCTGAGCCCCCAGCCCACCCTGTCACCCCCACCCTGCTTGGGGTCCTGCTGAGGGCTTTGCTGGGCACAGATGCTTCCAGGCCTCATTTAAGGGTTTTTTTTTTTTTTAACAGGTGAAGATTTTGTGCCAAGAGCTGCTGGTGCAGGTGTGTGACCTCCTGAGGCTGAAGGATTGTCACCTCTTCGGGCTCAGCGTCATCCAGAGTAAGTCAGGGTGAAAAATCAACACTTTTGGTGATGAGGAGCTGACAATTCCTCATCCCCCTCACCTATGGGTCACAGTGGGAGGCAGGGGACACGTGGGGATGCTGATGCCACCTCTGTCCCTCGCAGACAATGAGCATGTGTACATGGACCTGGCCCAGAAGCTCTACAAGTACTGCCCCAAGGAGTGGAAGAAGGAGGCCAGCAAGGTCAGCGGTGAGGTCTTGCATGGAGAGCTGAGGCCACCTCTGTCCCCATCACAGGTCACTCCCAGCACCCGGGAACGCTGCCAGGGGGTGGGGGGCACGTGGTCACTGTGGGGCTGGGGGTGGATGTGCAAAGCCACAGCCCTGGGGTTGGCACTCTGGGTGCCACCATGTGTCCCAGCTGGGGATGTGTCCTCCATGCTCCGTCCCTGGAGCTCTGGGGTTTTTTTTCTTTGATTTTTCTTTTCCTCCTTTATCCTTCAGCAGAATTTTTGATGTCCCTTCTTCCAAATCCTAAAATCAATTTAGGGGGTTTTTTCTCCCCAAAGCACCTTTTCATTCTTTCAGTGCTCACGGGGTGGTGTCCAGGCTTGAGTGCTGGTGGATGATGGTCTGGGAGAGGGAGAGCAGCAGTGAGGTGTTGCAGAACACCCGGGCTTGTCACACCCAGCCTTTTTAAATCCAAATTTCCTTCATTTCCTGCATTTTATGTAGAAAAATGGGCACCAAACTGATAACTGAGGAACAAAACCACCATCAGTGCCATGGGGGGGGGCACGGGGTGGCTGTGACAGCCATGACCCCAGCGAGCTGAGGAGAGGGGCTGGGGTGCGATGCTGGGACCCCCAGGGCATTCCTGAAAACCTCCTCCATTCCAGGGCATCGACCAGTTTGGCCCCCCCATGATCATCCACTTCCGAGTGCAGTACTACGTGGAGAACGGGCGGCTCATCAGGTACGGAGTGCCTTGGAGTGGCTGGGATCCTCCTGGCATGGCTGGGCACCTCCTGGGGTGGCCGTGCCCTTCCTGGCATGGCTGTGCCCTTCCAGGAGTGGCTGGGATCCTCCTGGGGTGCCTGTGCCCTTCCTGGGATGGCTGGGCACCTCCTGGGGTGGCTGTGCCCCTCCTGGCATGGCTGGGATCCTCATGGCATGGCTGTGCCCCTCCAGGAGTGGCTGGAATCCTCCTGATGGGGGTGGGCACCTCTGGGGTGGTTGGGATCCTCCTGGAGGTGTCTGTGCCCCTCCTGGGGTGGCTGTGCCCTTTCTGGGGTGGCCGTGGCCCTCCTGGGGTATTTGTGCACCTCCTGGGGTGGCTGTGCCCCTCTGGTGTGGTTGTGGCCCTCCTGGGATGGCTGGGAAATCCAGTGGAGAAGCTGTGCTGGTATTCCAGAGCTGTGCCCCTCCTGGGGTATTTGTGCACCTCCTGGCATGGCTGTGCCCCTCCTGGGGTGTTTGGGCATCTCCTGGCATGGCTGGGCACCTCTTGGGGTGTCTGGGATCTTCCTGGGGTGGCTGTTCCCTTCCTGGCATGGCTGAGATCCTCCTGGGGTGTCTGTGCATCTCCTGGAGTGGCTGTGCCCATCCTGGCATGGCTGGGCATCTTCTGGGGTGGCTGTGCCCTTCCTGGAGTAGCTGTGCCCCTCCTGGCATGGCTGGGATCCTCCTGGCACAGCTATGCCCATCCTGGGGTGGCTGTGAACCTCCTGGGGTAGCTGGGCACCTCCTGGGGTAGCTGGGCACCTCTTGGGGTGGCTGTGCCCCTCCTGGGATGGCTGTGCCCCTCCTGGAGTGGCAGTGCCCATCCTGGGGTGCTCTGGGGTGCTGAGCACGTCCCAGAAGCTGGGGCTTTTATGGGTGGGTGCCGAGTGGTTTCTGACAGGGCCAGGTGGGGACATTGCCCCCAAACAAAGCCTTTTGGGGGGTTTTATTTGGGATTATTGTATTTATTATTATTATTGTATTGTATTATCGATTATTGTATTTATTATTATTATTGTATTGTATTATCGTCTGGGTTGCCCCCAGACGAAGGCGGGAATGATGAATGTAACTCCCTGTTCACAGAAAGCTCATTTATTATTTTAAGACGTTATATGAAAGAATACTAAACTAAACTGTACTAAAGAAGACAGAAAGGATACTTACAGAAGGCTAAAAAGATAATAATGAAAACTTGTGACTCTTTCCAGAGTCCCAACACAGCTTGGCCCTGATTGGCCAATGAGTCAAAACACTCACCAAAAATCCAATGGAACAATCACCTGTGGGTAAACAATCTCCAAACACATTCCAAAGCAGCAAAACACAGGAGAAGCAAATCAGATAACAATTGTTTTTCTTTTTCTCTGAGGCTTCTCAGCTTCCCAGGAGCAAAATCCTGGGCGAAGGGATTTTTCCAGAAAATGTGAATGCCACAGGGGATGGATAATGTGTTTAGGGATTTAGCACAGCCTAATTTGAACTTACCCACAGCTGGGCAGGAGCTGCAGCTCCTGCTTTGGGGCTAAATGATGTCCTGAGGGCTTTGGGGACACAGTGACACCTGCACAGCTTTTTGAGGGGGTCACT